TAAATAAATAAATAAATAAATTCTTTATGTAGCCTTGGGTGGCCTGTTACTCCCAGCGATCCTCCTGACTCAGCTGCCCAACTGCTGGGATGACGGGCATGGCCACCATACCCAGCCTGAAACATACTGTTAAAAATGGTACCCAGTAATCTTAACATAGACTTCTGGGAAATGGTCAGGAAAGAAGTCCTAGAACAACCAGGACCTTAGGGTTAGCACGTGATTATAAACCATATGTGAACTGTGGACCTGTGAAATGTTTAATGCTGGCTGACAGAAAAGCTTTTATTCTACTTATATTCCAATACCCACCCACCCGGATCACTCTCTCACTACTGTCTAGTCATGATTGGAGAAGATAAAGAACACAAAATGTACTACTCTTCAATTGTCTTTTAGCTCCACATGCCTTACCAGACCTGCCCTTAAGGTAGCCTGAGCCAGCCAATAAAAAATCCTTCAATTGTCTTTTAAAACAATGAAAAGGCCAGGCATGGCAGCGCACACCTGCAAGCCCAGCACTCAGGGGGCTGCAGCAGAAGGATCCTTGCAAGTCTAAGGTCAGCCTGGGCTAGAAAGTGAGCTCAGGGCCAGCCTTCACTTCATAGTAAGACCCTGTCTCCAAAAGATAAAACAAGGGAAAACACGCGAACCTGTTTATCTTCTGTGTCCTCGCAAGCTCGCCCTCCAGGGCTTTGTTCCGCGTGGCCAGGCCGCTGCTCTCCAGGAGCAGGCTCTTCCTCTGCGCCTGCAGGAGCGCCAGCCGCTCCATCAGCTCCTCCATCTCTGCATTGTCTTTCTCCTCCTCTTTCTGCAGCCGGCTGAAGGACAAAGATATCACAGGTTCCGGGGCGGGCGCTGAGGCTAAAGAGGCAGGTGCTGCCAGGCTGGCTACCTGGACTTCAGGGACATCAGAACCAGGCCTGAGCCCAGCTGCTGCTGGGGGAGCAGGGGCGCGCGACAGCCACATCTGACCGCCACCCTTTCTGTCCAGTGTTTGTTTCTATCTGTGTATATACACTCATTTCTTTCCTTTGGAAAAAATAAATAAATGAAATTTCAATTTTTTACATGATAAAATTGCCAAGGAAAAAATTCTATGGCCAAAAGCAATCTCGCTTCACGGTAATGTCCCTTATGGTAACAGAAATCAACAGCTTGCTTCCTGAACACCAGCTGGGGACAGTCCTGCTTCTGGTGGGTGACCTGGTTTCAGAAAGGAACACAGAGCAATGCATAGGTTTAAAGTTAGCCTGTTAGCTATGTTCAAAACCCAAAACCCAGAATTCACTCTTCTCACTGAAAACTGAGACAGCTACTATTTATTTTTTTATTATTATTATTATTATTTTTTTTTTAT